GTCTCCGGCGGCGCTCTGGCCGCGGGGGGGAGGTCGGGGTCTGGCGGCACGGACGTCGACAAGGCGCGCGGTGCCCCCTTGCGGCCAGTTGCCACGTCTGTCGTTGCGCCCGCGTCTTGCTGGGGTCCGGCCCACTGCGCAGGAGGGGGCGGAGAGAGGATGGCCTTGGCTTAGAATTGAGGGAAGAGGGTGAGGAGGACGAGGAGGAGAAGGGTAGAGGCGTAGGGTGTATGAGGAGGAGGAGCAGCAGCACGAGGAGGAGGAGGAGGAGGAGGAGGAGGAGGAGGAGCAGGAGGAGGAGGAGTTGAGGAGGAGGGGGAGCACGAGGAGGAGCACGATGAGGAGCCGGAGGAGGCGTAGGAGGAGGAGGAGGAGGAGGAGGAGGAGGAGGAGGAGGAAAAGCGTCTTGGCTGAGGAGGTGCCCCTGGGATTTCGGGCGCCCCACTCCAGCTGAGACCCACGCGCGGCCGCGGCACGCGATCGGAGGCCAGCACGCCTCCGCGCTCGCGCAGCCGCGAGCCCGCCTGGCACAGGCGACGACGGCGACATCGCGGAGTCGCCCGCATCATCGTACGCCTTGCAGCGGCCAGAGGGCCGCTGGCGCAACATCACAGTGCGCAGCGACGACAGCCACAAGAAGAGACCATGGGCAACAGGGCCCCAGGATGGACATGCGCCTGCGGGCTGCACGTTGCAAGATGGGCCTGGTCATGTTCATCGTGTGGAGGATCATTCAACCAGAGGCGCAGGCCCAGCAGGAGTTCCTCCCGCAACCGCGGCTCGCACGGTGCCACGTGAAGTCCGACCTGCGGTTGCGCCTCACACCACCCCCAGGAGAGGATCACCTTCCTGTACGACCAAATGATGATGAGGGGGTACATGGCTCACCGCAGGAGACGGGGACACATGGCTATGCATCCGCAGTGGAGGAGAAGCATAGCATCAACAGAAACAGCCACCCCCTGATGATCACCTTGGCTACGCGGCCCTGTGCAACCTCAAGGCACCCAAGGAGCCTTGCAGTTAGTGGCAACTCAGGAGACGCACGCGCGTGCAGTGCCGTGGTTTTTGCACGACGGTTTCCTGGTGATCCTATCCGGTGGATCGGAAGGCGAACGAGAGCGAGCCGGAGTGGGATTCGTTACTGCACCGTCCGTCTGGCACGCTGTCATGGGTTTTGTACAACACAACAACCGCCTGGCGAGCGCGAGGCTTCGTGTAGCTGGCGGCTCTGTGCTTTTCATCAGCGCGTGCGCGCCGCACTCGGGCCGCGACGTCGAGACGCGGCACGCATTCTTCAGTGATCTGCACGTTTTGACTTGGAAAACTAAGCCGCACGGGCCAATCTTCGCTCTTGGTGACTTTAACGCTCGGTTCGGTCAATCTTTTGCGACGCACATACTATTGGCCCATATGCCTGGGGAGACACCAAGTCGAACCTGGGGCCATGGAGCAACCAGCACACGCTCCTCGAACATTGCGCGTCATTCGGGCTGTCGCTCGCGAACACTTTTGTGGACAGGCCGGTGCGCCAATGAGTGACCTATTTTGACCTGGCGGCCACGCCAGCCTCAGAGATTACGCCGGCGAGCTTCGCTGAGATCGACCACGTTCTGGTGCTGCACCAGTGGCGGGGTGCAGTCAGACATGTATAGACAGGAACATCGGTTTCGCTTCTCACCACTTGCTGGTCACAGTGGCGCTGGACATCTCAATCCCCAAGACACCTCCAGGGGGCATCAATTGTTCATGAACGTCGCGCGTCTCATCGTTCCGAGCGTGGCGTCGGACTTCGCTGATGAGTTCGTGGCGAAGGGTGCATGCACGCAGCCGCCAACAAGGTCCTGGAGTGGCAGCCGGCCCGTGCAAGCAGGCCTTGGATTCAGCACGGCACTCTTGACCTGATCGACCTGCGGAGCCGAGCTCGGAGGAATGGACAGAGCACGCTGGAGATTGGACTGTCGAAACAAATACGAGATTCAGCGAACAAAGATCGCAGGGAATGGTTAGATAGTATGTTCGACGCAGGCAGCTGGCAGGGCCTGAAGCGTTTCGGGCGCGTGGGGAAGAGGCAGCAGCATGGCCGCTTGAGAGACGGCGAAGGCAATTTGGTAGACAGTTCGCAACGTGCTGACACGATGGTTCCTTACTGCGAGAACGTACAATGGGCAGCTGCCCCACCAGGCCAGCCACGACCCTACGGACCACTGCTACACGATACGTTCCCTCTCAACGCGTCTGCATTTCCAGTGAATGAGTTGGATGCTGCACTTGCGAAACTAAAAAGAGGGAAGGCAGCGGGGCCCGACGATGTCCCGCCTGAATTCTGGACGTCTCTACGCAACAACGCAGAGGCCTGCGACTGCCTCTTAACCGTTGCAACGCGCGCTGGTCACGCAAAGAAACCCCGCAGTCTTGGAGGCACTGCTCCGTTTCAGCTATCTTCAAGAAGGGCGATGAATCTCTTCCGCATAATCATCGCCCAATCTCGCCGTTGCCAATCGGATGCAAAGTGGTCGCCAGCCTTATTCTGAGCCGGATGTTCGCTGGAGGCGTCGATGTACAGTTGAGGGGCGCGCAGTATGGATTCCGGAAACAGAGAGAGGCCATCAACGCTTTTCTTCTTCGTGCAGAGGGCAGCGGGGCGAACGTGGGCCATAAAGGACGGGCAGTTTTCGGCCATTTTGCTTGACTGGTCGAAGGCGTTTGACCGCGTGGAGCCTGCGGCGCTAATCCTCGCTTTGTCACGCTTCGGCATTCCGGGCTCCTACCTTGACATGATTGCCAACATTACAGCAATCGAAGTTTTGAGATGCGACGAGGTTGGGAGTTCTGGCACGCGGTCGCAGCGGTCAGGCATCGCGCAGGGGTGCCCGCTAAGCCCATTATTCTTCATCGTCGTGCTCTCGGTCATCATGGCAGACGTCGAGCCGGGCCACTTGCCAATGGAAGCGTTTGCTTCGATGTGGCCTACGCCGACGACGTGGCGTTGATCTCCGACGACGTCAACCGGGCGCAAGGTTTTCTGACCTGCCTCATCCGCAGAGCAAAAGCCTATGGTCTGGAGCCTAATTGGGACAAGACGGTGCACCTTCGAGCGAAGCACGCCCAGGGCGTGCTCACGACAGGAGGGGCGCCCGTCAAAGTCGCGACATCAGCTGTTTACCTGGGCAGCCTCCGGACCGCCGACGGCGGCGCAGGCGCGGCCATTGCCCGGGGAATTGGCGAAGCCTGGGCAGCATTTGACAAGCTTCAGGTGGTGTGGCGGCGCGCCAACATCACACTGAAGCGGAAGCTCGCTCTTTTCGACTCGTGCGTCATCCCCAAGCTCGCGCGTTGTCTGGGGGCGTTCTGTTTCAAAAAAGCTGACCAGGACAGGATCGACGCACTCCAAGCAACATGTGTTCGCAAGATTCTCGGCGCCCCACGCTCTATGATTCCTCGCATTTCCAACGAGGAGGTCCGGAGTAGAGCCGACAGCGAACGTCTGAACCAGCGCCTTGCTTCTGTTTCGACAACTGTTGCTGCGCGGTCGAATTTCTGCCATGCCGAACACGGCGCCCCGGGCCACGCTGTTCCACGCAGGAACCTTGGAAGCCGCTGGTCTGGGGGCGCAGCGCAGACATGGCCGCCCGCGTCTGGCATGGGGCCCAGTTGTCAGGGCGCAGGCGCGTTTGATCATCGAGGGCGCTCTCGGTCCCTCCCCGCCCCTTCCTCGCCCCCCCCCCCCCCCCCTCCTCTTGCCCCCGCCCCCTCCCCCGAGCCCGCGCTCCTCGGTGTTTCTCTTGGCCCAGCACGGTGCAGGAAGACAGTCTGGAAGGCAATCGTCAAGCGACATATCTCTGTCACGTGAATGCTCTGACTGATACCTTGAATTTTTTTCGCGGTGGCAAGGCCAGGCGCCTCCTCGGCAGTCGCGCTAGCGCTGCAGCCGATGCGTCGTAGAGACAGGGCTTTTCAGTTCAGTTCAGCCATTTTGGCCCCCCTAATGGTGCTCGGAGTCATTGCGGCGAGTTCCGATGCCAATGTGGCAGTGCCCGATTGTTGCGCGGCAGCGCGGTCGCCGCGCCATGCAGGCGCGAGCGTTTACTCATCCGAAGCGCCGCGCCCCCCACGCTCTAGATAGGGTCGCGCTCCAGTGCGTGCGCCGTCTCGTCTCGTCGTCTCGCCCCAGTTGCACTTCCACGCCCCGTCCTTGCGCTCGCGTGCGCGCGTCGTCAGTTCCCGGCGTTCCATGGGCCTCGGGCCAGGCGCCTCTGGCAGAAGTCAGCGAGGTGGCCCTTGTCCCAACGGAGGCCCCTGCGGGTAGGTGACCCGCGCTTCTCCAGATGCCCGGATGGGCTCCAGGGCGCCCGCTGCGTGGCCAAGATGGCCCAGGTCATTTTTCAAACTGGCGCGAAAGGCTGGGGGCGCGTTTGGCAATCTCCGACGCCCTTCCTTGCCGTGGCAGGGAGCCCGGGCTGCGGCTTGGTCTCCCGAATATCTGATGTTGGACGGACACCGCCCGCCACAGGTCACATCCCATGGCGCGCGAGGGTTTGCAGGCGACAGAATTTGGGCCTCGACGCGCACGCTGGACATTGAGCCACACGTCGCCAATCGGATCCTGCAGTTTGATGGGGCGGCGGCATCTTGGACAGCAGCATCCATTCCCGCTTGCTCCTTTTGGCCTCCGGCCCCGCGAGGGCGCCGACTCTCCGCGGCTGGGGCGCGCGCCCCTGCCGACGAGCGGGAGTCCATGCCATTCTGGGGGCCCGGCTGCTGTCCACCATAACGGGGCGAGGGTTCCTCCATATTCACCGACTGCGGGATCTTATTTGCTTGAAGCATAGCCTTATCCTTGTGTTTGGCATCACTTCACATCGATGCCGATCTTAAGGGTTCCCTCGCTCTTTGCTCGCCCATCTGAGGGATAGGGATAAGTTCGAGACAGGTTGGGATCGATCTCCAGGGGTCTCGTCAGGCTTGATATGAGCAAGTTTTCGCCCTCCCAGGGCCCGCGTGCATCCGTGCGTGCACCGCCAGCCGAGGCCCCCAGAGATCGACCCCCCCGGGAGGCGCTT